TACACAATATATTAAATATAGAAACACTATATTTAACATGCTCCCAACGGCACTGGTAACGACTTCCGGATTCCCAGGCTGTCACGGAACTCTGTGAAGATCATGGTTGGGAGCCCCTTTGTAAAAATGTCTGCATACTGCAACGAGGAAGGAACATGGAGAACTCGTATGTGTCCGAGAGCCACCTTATCTCGGACAAAGTGTATATCAACCTCAATGTGTTTAGTGCGCTGGTGTTTGACAGGATTGGCAGAAAGGTAGACGGCACTCACATTGTCACAGAACACCAGGGTGGACCGGCTGAGAGGTTGCTGGAGTTCTTGAAGTAAGGTACGCACCCAGCTGACTTCCGCGACTGCATTCGCTATGGCCCTGTACTCCGCTTCGGCACTGGATCGTGACGTGGTTTGCTGACGCTTGGTGGACCAGGAGATGAGATTGTCGCCGAGAAAAATGCAGTAACCGGTGGTGGATCGGCGAGTATCGGGACAGCCCGCCCAGTCAGCATCCAAGTAAGCCCGCATAAAGTCTGTGGGGGACGGAGAGATGGAAATACCGTGGGAGGGTGTCCCATGAAGATAGCGTAGCACCCGTTTCATTGCTGTGACATGTGGGAGGCGTGGATCATGAAGAAAGAGACACAGCTGCTGGACGGCATATGTGATGTCAGGACGGGTGAAGGTAAGATACTGTAGTGCCCCTACAATGGACCTGTACAAAGTAGGATCTTGTGCTGGTGGACCTGCGGAGGCCGAAAGTTTCCCACGAGTGTCAACGGGGGTAGATGCATATTTGCACGAAACCATACCGGCGCGCTCAAGAATGTCGTAGAGGAACTGAGTCTGTGTGAGAAATAACCCATGAGACGTGCGCTGGAACCCAGAAAAAAATGAAGATCCCCCATATCTGTCATAGCAAACTCGCCCTTCAGTCGCTGAATGATAGACTGGAGAAGTGTCTGGGTGGAGGCTGTGAGTATGATGTCATCTACATATAGAAGCAAGAACGCCATCTGTGACCCTTGCCCATAAGTGAACAAGGAGGTATCGCTCTTGCACCCGCGAAATCCAAGAGAGAGAAGGAAACCCGTGAAATGCTGGTACCAGGACCGCGGTGCTTGTTTCAGCCCATAGAGCGCCTTATTCAGTTTGCAGACATAGTGAGGACGATCAGGATCCTGAAACCCAGATGGTTGAGCTGTGTAGACAGTCTCTGTGAGAGATCCATGAAGAAAAGCGTTCTTGACATCTAGTTGGTGAATCCGCCACCCGCGAGAGACTGCCAGACTGAGGATAATGCATATGGTTGCGGACTTAACCACCGGGCTAAAAGTCTCATCATAATCAATGCCATGGCGCTGATTGAACCCACGGACAACCCAACGTGCCTTATACCTGGACAGTTCACCTGTGGGGCTAAGTTTGTGTCGGAAGAGCCATTTTCCAGAGATAATGTTTTGGTTGGGGGAGGGGGGTACTAAATCCCATGTATTATTAGCAATCAAAGCATTATATTCATCCTTCATAGCATTGTACCAGTTTGGGTCTTTGAGTGCACTGCGGTATGTGGGGGGATAGGGGAGACCTCAGCAACGGT